ACTCAGGTTGGTGCCTGGGTTCCTGCTAAGTCGGAAAGGAATCCACTTTGAATAAAACTTAAATTTATCCGGTAGACGGTGTTGTCAACTTTTTGTTATCTGTATTACTATCTACTCAATTCGGCATCTTGTTTGTGTTTGTATTCTGGCGCGCTTTACGTGCATGATAAATGAATGAATAAACTTTGTTCGCACCACCATTCGGCAACGTCTGATGAGAAGGGACCTAGAAATTCAGTTTTGATTATAATACATTTGAGCATTTCGAAAGATTGGTTCACAAATCGCATCTAGATCGCACCTGCGTCACCACGAATTGCGTCATTTGCCCTGGAGGCAGGAGCGGTGACTGCGTGAAGTCAAGGGTCATCTATCTCATCACCTGCGCATGCTGCGGCGATGATTATATAGGTGAGAGAGCGTGCCTTCTATCTCTTCTCGTTAAGGAGCAGTTAGACGGCAAGGACAAGTTATTTCCACCCCTCTATTAACTCACGTCGATGGACGTGAGAGGTAAGCTGGAGCGAGAAGTTATGGTTAAGATCTTACGCAAGAACCTCAAACTTCAGCCCGTAAATGTTTGGAAGCATTGTGGACCCTCACGAAAGCGCCAGAAATGAATCGCAAGAACGTGCTCGCAGTTACGCAAGAACTCCTCCATGCGGTTACCTTGACCGGTGAATTGTTATCATTCTAACGCTTACTAATTTCGCTTCTGCAGTAAGAATTCATTGGCGCAGTTAAAGGTAATTATTTTATCTTGCCCAATTGCGGTCAAAGAAAGATCTTAGAGCTTCTTTTGCATGATTGCAGAGTCTTTGTTCGGATGGGTTACAAATCGTCTTGCCCATTCAGGCTCTGAAGAAGGCGATCTGTCGAAACGTTAGCCAATAAAGTGAATTTTCCCCTGTGGCTCAACCACTTATAATTTGACTTTCAAAAAAAGCGTTTAAAGCTGAGTCGAAGTTGTTCGGTTGAACCTACCTTGATGGCTCAATGGTTTCAAACCGTTCGACTGTCGTTGCAGCAGCTAGCTAATCGGATCCTCTTGTAGACTTCACTTCTGGCATTTCTTTCATGGGAAATACCACAAGATATTTTCTGTAAAGGTGTATCGCTATGGGTTCTGAGCCTGATGCCTTGCTAACAACTGAGAGTTATTCCTAAAAGGAGAAGCGGAACTTTAACTATGTGAGGATGCAGTGTTTGAGATTCCTCCTTTTC